AAATTTCTCACTTAACATTATAGATCACACTTTATTTGTTGTATTGATGAACTTGATGACACCACAAACCACAAAGACCAAACATGAAGAACAAAGATCTCTGAAGTGTGTTTGTAATGATGTAACTTTCTCTATATATTAAATTTTGACAGTCCTTACCATATAAAATTCAATCTTATTTGTATTGCATTGTTTACAGTCTTTGTTTACAGAATTTTCATGACGTGATTTAGTAAAATTAATTTTTCAAATGTATACAAATATACCAGGTTTCACTACATTTGTGGTTTATATTACAGTGATGTTATCCTGAAGATTGATAAATTATTCTCAGTGCTGGTTTGGACAAATCATTCTGAATAATAAATGGATGTCATTTGGAAGTTTACAATAGCACAATAGTCTGTACTTAATTTAACTTTTAAACTATCACTGTGATGATGCTGTATGGCAACAAAGAATATATAGTGTCAAAAACAAGCCCATCTTTAGGGGAGACCACAAAGAACACACAAATGCACTGATTCTTACATTTTTATTTACTTAAAGAACTTAACATCTCATTAAGTTTACATCAGCAATACTTGAGTGATCACAAAAAAAAATATCCATCACATCAAATCACATGCATAACATTCAGTCATTGAAAGAAATGAACTTTTTTTTAACAAAAAATAATGATTTCCTAGTTTTCTGCAAGAGTAAACCTGCACTCATCAAACATTAGTCTCTTATATGAACTTAACCAGCTCTGTAGCTTTCTATTTTTCCTGTTTTTTGTTGTAATTGACACATATAAAAAGGATAACTTGGTGCAACATTTCATTATTGGTAATATTTATTGGTTCACCGATTCTGCCACAGGCTGATAACAAATATAACTTAATTATTGGATGTATAAGCTCAGAGAATCATTCATTTCTGGTTGTGATCTAAGTGGCTTGATTGACAAGAGAAAATCATACATAACTAATGAAAAAGGATGTAAGATAAATATCTTTGCCATAGCAAATGAACAAAACAAATTCTGTCAGATGGACATCTAGAGGTCACCATACCCATGTGTGCATTATGAGTTGATGCTTAGATGTGCATGAGACACCATACATACTATCCCAAAATAAGTATACATATAGTGTACTCATACCTATAACAAAATGACCTGACAATCACTGATATGGGTTGCTTTGATTGTTGACTGTCTTACAGTTATTGTGTTCATGTAAATTTCTAAGTGGCCTGAAGATCATTTGTCTCTGTTCAACTATCATTTACATGTTATAAAAGTTAAGTACCCACCAAACACTTTATCTATTATCTTGGTTGTTTAGATTCCATAAATCATTTCAGACAAAGTTTGACAAGGTTTGTTATTCTTGTGTCAAGAAGTGACAGTCTGCTTTGATCCAAAAAAATATTTTTAATACAAATATGTCTTTTCAAGGAACCCACACCTGCAAAATGCCAGTAGCAAGGTGAAAATCACAACTATATTAAAATTCTACAAATACTGATGGTCATTTTGATATCAATATAGCCACATTTAAACCATCATTTTGTTGTCCAACAAGTTATTCAGAATTTTTATCTGAAGGCCTTCTTCATAACAATGATCATCATTCTAATAACAATTTTGCTTTTAAGAAACCTTGGAAAACATTGGCAATGCTGATCTTGATTTGACCATTACACAAAATTTACACTTGTCAAATGAACAATAAACTTAAGGTTCTTTGGATACAAACTTGAAGGAAGGCCTTAATATTAGTTGCAACCAATTTTCTGAATTTATTCAAGCAAGGTAATTTTTATTTATTTCAAGTTGTAAATAAATACTATAATGGTTTTTCAGTGTACTCAATGTCTCTTATATTCAATCATAGAAAACAGTCAGAAGTAGTATTTGTTTTCTAATAAACACAAAATCCATTTTAGAATAATTTAATTTCTTTGGTAAAAGAAAGAATGGAAAAAGCTGTCTTTTGCCAAACAATTTTTGTCAATATTCAACCAGGTCATACCATAATTGAAATAGAAATAAAACAAATTTGCTGGGTAAATATTGATGCTTCATTTCCAGAGGGACTCAATCAAAGAAGAAATATCAACAATATGCAAATTTACCCATGAGTCTGTAGACTTTAACCAGGATGCAAATCACTGCACAATACAATTGCAAATACAAACTGTTGAAAAAGTGCTTACAATTACCCTATTGAGAAATTCAACTACTCTTAAATGTGAAAAACATGGTGAATTATTGATATTGATGCAAACATAGTTGGGTATTAATTAGTTTTTGATTGCTAATGGATGCAAACTGCATATTAAATAACTGACAGAAGATAATGATAATGGCTTTGTGTTTATCATCCAGGGGCAAATATTACATGTATATCAGGACAAGACTACATTAATGTGATATGAATATGAACCCTGCTTTGTTTTAAACCAACAAAATGGGCAGGATTTTTAACGTGCTACTTCTCAAAGTAACACGAGTCTTCAGGAAACTATTTCACCTCACCCAGACACAGCTATCCAGTCTTTGCTCTTACTCCTAAATACTGTAAGACTAGCCGTGTAGCAGAAAATATCAGTTTGAAGTCTCTTTTCTCAACCTCGCTGGGGGTAGAACCCAGGAATTCCCCTACATGAGGTTAGCACTCTAACATGAGACCAATGCCCTGGTTAGATGTATGGAATTGATACAATTCTCTTTTTCTGGTAGAATATCTTAGTTTTTGTTGCCAATATGAGACAAGAGATTCAAAATTGTGAATTTGTTACTTTAAAATGTTTTTGTTTGAAATAAAATTGGTAATGTTGGGAAAGGTTTCAAAATAATTGTTCAGAGCTCTTTCTTCTACCCCCAAAATTTATGAAATAACATTTTCTTCAAAATTTTCTTGGTAACATTTATTTTTAATCAATTGTCAATAGATTAAGAAAAACACAGACTTATCACTTACAAGTCCTTCTCCAACATTCAAATGAAAGTATTTAATTTTGCGTTTTTTATACAAAAACAAATAACCTCTTTGTTAATTTTAGCCATCCTTAACAGACGTGCAGACCTGACAATTGTAATTAATTGGAAAACAAAAAGCAGTACTATATCAAAAAGAACACCTGTACATAACTGAGTCAATGAAGAAAATGGTTAAAAGTAACCAACATAATTACTATCAGAGGTTTGATTAGTAGGGCCAAGTCAATGAACTAATTACCAAAACACTTGTAAAGCCAGTGCCATAATGTTTCCCCTTTTAACCAGTAATCAACATAGTGATATAAACAATATGTCAGATAATATTTTTTTTATGCTATACACAGTTTTCATTAACATTTCGGTCTAAGCATCTAATGACCTTCTTACAAAGAAAAAGAGAACAAACCAAGTCAACAAGTCATGTAAGTTATGCACAAAAGGGTGCCACGATGAAAAACATATTTGCAAATACGCAAAACCAACATAGTTGTATTGCCTCATTCTGAATATTATACACCGCTGTTATCTGCGTCATAATATTACTTGACCAAGTTTTTCACTTTACCATCAAAGTTTTACTTCATTATTACACCACCAATAAACTTTCTCTCTAGATCTACACCTTGCTCATCGTAAAATTAAGTGTCTTTTAATTCTCTTGTTTAACTATCAACATTAAAATCATGCAAGCTGTTGTAAAGGAAGGAACTGAAACTGTTTAGAAAAATTCATGTTTGTTACAATATTTCTATGCCATTTTTATCTGTTTTGGTTCCTATACAACTGAAAATTCTGCTCTGCACAAGCTACAAATATTCCTTTCCTACTGATAATTCACTGATTTAGAAATTTAAGGACTATCATGATTGTTTTTCATTGTTTAATACACTAAAAATAAAAAGAATTTTACACAACTGATAATATCAACAAATCTTTAGGTGCAAGCTTTAAATGCATTACCAGATTGCCTTACTTAGGTTCTCACTGTGGAACTAAACCACTTCAAAAGAGTAGAAACTTGTTATTGTTGGCATGGCAAGTCTGAAGTTCAGAAGAAAAACAATAGCAACGCCTTTAAGTCATCCTCAAGTCTCAACATCAAAATAAAATAAGGAAATTCATTTTAAAACAGTTTTAACCTTAAATGAAAGAGATGACTGGTACCAGCTGACAAAGTCTAAATGAAAATGCAGGGACTCAAAAAAGTAAAAACTGTTGAGTGCTTCCTGCTTATAGATGAAAACCAAAGGGCTAATGCAACCTTTAGAAGTTAATACATGTATAAGTCTTGATGGTCATATGTAGATAAATATATATTTAATTTCTTCGTCACAAACCTTAGTCAAGTGTTAAATGTTTTTTTCATATTTCACTTATTTCTCATTTTGAGGGGTATTTCTTCACATCTTACAACCTGTATCTGGTAGAATTATTGGGTTATTTTTTATCTTACAAATAAACCATCTCAGTATGAGTGCTAAACAAACTTGCATTTCTTTGATTAGAATGTATATACATAGTGGTTTGTCTGTGATGTTTACAGAGATATATACACAGAACTATTGTGTTATGATATACAGCATTCATTCCAAGTGCACTGGTGCTTAGAAAATTGAAAATAAATAATGGGTGTGTGCCTTGGAGAGGTGAAGTATAAATTAATAGTTGAAAATAAAGTTTACATCCATTCAGAATGTTTGCAAAAACTGGAAATGATTGATAACTTAAGTCTTATATATACATGACATAATAAATTAAGAAGGAAAATCTCTGAACAGTGATACCAAATTGGACAGGGACACTGATACATAGCCAGGTCAACAATTTCCCATCAGGTGTGACCCCAACTTTTTGTCTACAAAATGAACACCCTACCCTCCCCAAAACAGATACAATATCACAGTTTTAAAGCTTCCTTTTTTCATGTGGTGCATGGTACATGACCATACATATTTGCCTTCAGCAGTTTATGCGATGAATGCTGCTATCCCTATCTTTAACCACAAACCTCTCAATTCTCTGGCTGAGTATTCTACACTTTGTACATCTTCACAGTTTTCGTTATAACAGACACGCTTCTGTCTTTGATGACCACAGGGTTTGCCACCATGGGCTGCTGACTCTATGACATGACGTTTACGTTTCTGGATACCTTTGCCACACTGACTGTCACACTTAGACCATTCAGTCCATTTACTCAGCACACAGTCTTGTCCTGCAAAAGAAAACAATGTTTAAATAAAGGTTTCTTCCAGAATTATACTGAATACTAGCCATGGAAGACAGAAAATATACATGGAAGACAGGAAAAATACATCCTTGGCTTAAGTTCATTTTCACTACCATTTCCTGTAAATTTTTTTTGTACCTTTTTTATCCATTTTCCTTAATATCTTTTTTAGTTTCATGTCATTTCAACTTGGTATTTTGAATGAACACCACTTCACCAACCACAGATGGAAAGTATACTTACATCTACTTCATGAATACTGAAGTGAAAACCATTCTTGAAGACGTTTTGGTGAATTATCTTGTGTAAATTATGCTTATATTTTATTAGTATAATTACTGTAAAATTAACTGAGAACAACATGTGATACCCAGAATCAGTTGATTAATAAGTATAAATATTTGGTCAAATGTTAAAATCCTTCATCTTCTAATGTAGGAAAAGAGGGGTATAAACACAGTAAATGTGTCCTGTGTTTAAAGTGTATTTATATGTAATTTACAGCTTTGAGTCGTTTCTTCATAAGGGAATACAAGTACATTTATTTCATGGTTTCACAGAATATCCCTTTATGAGTACAATGCATAATATTTAGTTATATTATGCAATGTTTTGGCAATTAGTATGTGGATGACCATACCCATCTCTATTTAATAAGTCTGGTTTTGAAAATACAGTTTGCCCAGTTGTATACTTGTCTATAACCCTTATATTATGGAAACATTTCAATTCACCTAAAATCCCTACTTCAAACTGACTCAAAAGACCACTTTACTGTTGAACAAATATTGACCCAGCATAATTAATAGGGATTAAAAGTCAACACCCTAATACTTATAGACAACTTAGGTAATAAATGATTGTGTAATTATGATAAGATTAATGAAGTTTGACAGGTAACCTTGATTACAGGTGAGAAACATAACAGGTAAGCTATGTCAACATGTAACACCTGTATTTAGCTAGTAAGACATAGACTATAATTTTGTTCTAAGAATGAGCTTTAAGCTTAATAACTCTTTTAGAAAACATTTTCTGTTCTTTAAAACATGTAAAAAGAAGTTAATAAAAAATAAATGGGGAATGTGTCCGTGGGACACAGATGATGCCCCCACTTGCATACAACGTTATAAAGGGACATAACTCAAGAACAGTAAAAGTGACGCTACCCAAATTCATCTTGATCTGAGTTTTTAGGTAATAAGCATTGTGTATAAGTTTCATAACATTTGGTCGAGGCAAACTAAAGTTAGAGAACGGAAACCAATTTCGGGATGTACAGACGGACAAGGGTAAAACTTGATGCCCCCTCCACTACGGCGGGGGCATAAAAATCAGAGTGGCAGATGAATGTACTGTTACCAAACATAAGAGGAAAGTAGATTGAAGCAATATGTTGTAGATTCAAATTTGAGCAAAAAACTAGAGGCTAAGAAGTGTCCTGTATTGATATCCTGGTATTTTTACATACAATTACCACAATACAATGTAACAAGAATATTTGTGCTGAAGGAAAACTTTGTGGACCAAAATCTTGTCTTACTGATTATTCTTCATCATATAATAGTTTATTTAATATTCCTGATCATTTCTGCTGTTTGCAGTTTCTCTCTATTAACCAAAGATTTATGATCAATAGTTTGCCCCCCAAAAAAACACAAACAAATGGGAAAAATTGTCATTGAAGGGCAATAACTCTTATAAGGAATCGACTGACAATTTCGCTCAAGTTGACTTTTTAGTAGATCTGGTATAGCTGATCTTTTTTGCTTTTTACTAAGAGCTTCTCTCTATCTGATATTGTTTTCAAGTGTAAAAGCCCAAACTTAAAATTTGTAATTTAAGGCCAATAACTCTAATAAGGAGTTGTCTGGAGTTTTTGACCTTTTGAAATAGTTTATAGATCTTGTTTTGCTATTTTAGATTAATTTAAGATAGCACTAAAGCCAGTATCATTGCCAGTATTATGGGAAAATGGCAGTTGCCTTATGGTATGAAAAAGCTGTCTGCATTGCATGTAAAGATTTAAGATTACAATGATCTAGTTAAGGCTCAAACTACAGTGTCCTTGGCACTCTTTTGTTGTCTAGCTAAGCCTACTAGTAAAATAAATGAAAGGCCTTATCCTCATGCTTCACATATTCTACAGTTCACATTCCAGACACAACAGTATATTGATAAATATAAATTAATTTTGGAAATTTGTTCTTTTGATAAATGATAGTTAAATCTTAAAAGCACCTGTTGAAGTTAATTTTCAATATAGCAGTGTATAAAATCTTATTAAAATTTCTAACTATGATTGGATTTCAAAATACAGATTTACTGTAAAATGACCCTTTAACCACATACCAAGATTTGAGAGAAAAGGAACATCTTAAATTTCTCATACAACCTTTAATAAACAATTTGTCAATTGAGACTTTGTTAAAATTATGAGCTGTTAAAGTTTGATGGTTTTTATTAAATATTGTTGTGGTTAGAGGTAAACCACATTAATGTAATGATTCATTATATCAAGGAGAATTTTTTACTATAGTATAATAAATTTGATCCTTGATTAAATTTTTTGTATAATTTTGCTTCTGTTTGAAAACATACAACAGAAAGGAAAGACTCTAGGCATTTTTTATTAATTTCATAAGTACAAAGTAATTACTATTAAACTGATCAATTGTATATTTGCACTATATTATACAAGTAAACTGATCACTGTAAATCAAATTATCATATTCAGTTATACTTTATAATAAAATCTGACAAACATAAGTTTATAATGATGTGCTAGTGTAACAGTGAATCTTTTCAATCTGTACTCTATCCTTCAGAAGAAATACACTAGTGTAAAAATCCCCCCTAGTGTAACAGTGAATCTTTTCAATCTGTACTCTATCCTTCAGAAGAAATACACTAGCGTCAAAATCCCCCCCTAGTGTAACAGTGCATCTTTTTAATCTGTACTCTATCCTTCAGAAGAAATACACTAGTGTAAAAATCCCCCCTAGTGTAACAATGCATCTTTTCAATCTGTACTCTATCCTTTGGAAGAAATACACTAGTGAAAAAATCCCCCGTAGTGTAACAATGAATCTTTTCAATCTGTACTCTATCCTTTGGAAGAAATACACTAGTGTAAAAATCCCCCCTAGTGTAACACTGTGCATCTTTTCAATCTGTACTCTATCCTTCAGAAGAAATACACTAGTGTAAAAATCCCCCCTCAAGTGTAACAATGCATCTTTTCAATCTACTATATCCTTTGGAAGAAAAACTAGTGTAAAAATCCCCCCTAGTGTAACAATGAATCTTTTCAATTTGTACTCTATCCTTTGGAAGAAATACACTTGGTGTAAAAATCCCCTCCAACATATTTTCCTAAAAGTTTCATTTCCCATAGAATTATACACTAGTGTGAAGAAGAAAAATAATCATGCATTTCACTACCAGATGTTCTACATGTAGGAATGAAAGTACACATACACAATTACAAAGGGCTAAATCTAATCAGATGTAAGAGTTACCACAGCACTTACATACATGTATATATATAGATCTTGACAAAGAACAGTGATCAGGAATTGTACCAGTTTAATGAGCATTCAGGTAGTTAAGATGTTCTGTAACCATTAATGCTTTAGACAGACAAGTAAACATTATATAACCCAAGGTCTTCCCAAAATACAAGTATGCTCTCTAAATGAACACTTTGAAATTATTATCCATAAATCAAAATAACAGATATAAATTTAAATTATGATCAGATTATGTCATTTACTGCTCTATCTAAAAAATCTTTCTGTGTAATAAGGCCAGGCTCATTCATCTCCTAGTATGTTAAAGTTCTGAAGTTACTATTAAAACAAGCTTGCACCTATGAAAGTAAACTACCTATCTTGACAGTTGTATAAATCAATATAGGTATTGAGTAGCAAATACAAAAATACACCTCCCTGCACACCAGAAGCACCTTTTTTAAGGTATACTGGCCTTTGAAAGATATATTTATATATACTAGAGAATGGATATTCGAATGTACACTTTCAGTAAACAAATATGAAAGCTTTTAATTTATTTTTTTAATCATCAAGAAATTCACCAATGTACTTCATATAACATTATAAATCTACAAATGGCCAACATCCAAGTAACCTTTGAGTCTTAGTTTAGCCCTTTGCCATGGCTTATATACTGTTATACAACAGGAAACTTATGAAATATTATAATTATACCCTACTCAGACACACTCATAAAAAACTGCTCAAATAAATACATAATTTAATATGACACTATCAAAAAGCTGAATTTATTCATTTAACATCTGCTTAAAAGTCTAAAACATATATCGTAATTACCTAACAGAGGGCATTTACATTTGGCTAGCTTTGTTCATTTCAGAGTATCTACAGACAGATAATTTTTGTTTAACTTGCAGGTGGTGGAAAATATATCAAACTTAAAATGGCATTTAATTGTACCCAGATATACCTTTTGTATACCTTGACATATTTAAAGACTTCACACAGTCACACTACTTCTATATAAGCTCACTAGAGAGATTTCCATTCATAAAACCTACTACTCAGAAATGCACTGTGTTTCACCTAATAAACCCACATTCATGTATATATCTATCCTTGAAACCAAGGTTTATCAAGCATATCACAAAATATGAACTAAAGGAGATATGTTCGGATATATATTAACAAGACAGCTACCCAAATACACAACAATAAATAAAAACAAACATCTTAACTCAACAAATGGTTACTTAGTATAGTAATTGATGAAGACAATCTTTTCAAACATATTTTAGCCAACACATTAAATTCAGATTCAGAACAAAAGATTATTTTTCACAATATATAAAAATATGATTACTGGTGTCTAATAATTACAACCTTAATGCATTTTGTAAGTCTATTTATAGTACCAGTTGCCATGTTGATAATGGTCCGTTCAGAGACTACTATAACATGTGTAATGGT